AAATGGACAGAATGAGACGTTCCAAATCAAGCTCAAAGTCTAATCTCCCAAGTCTGGCCTACAAGTATGAAACCACGCAAAAATGTGAAGAAAAAAGAATTGAGCGAATGTACTTAACATTATACGAAGTTTTTGCGAGTAAGAATCACGTTCTTTCAAATCATGATCGCAAAGGTAGGCCCAAGGCTCATGGAGAATAACTAAAGAAGAAAGCAAACTACTATGTGTTTTAGGATTTTTGGAAAAAGTCAAACTTTTGACCCAAGAACAGCCTAAAAGTGAAAAACAAGAAAACAATGAGGCACAAAGTGAGATAACTAGCAAATAGAAAGCGTTGCGCGTCATTACAAAACGAGAACTCTACATACCATAAGAGCATAGAAGCTCATTGTAGCCTGATGAGAAGTGCCTTATAGACGACGTAGTCCCAGTACTGGAGCTTTGGAGTAGCTCAAATGCAGCTCTTTAAATAATATCCACTGAGCCTCACACTATACTTGGGTCCGAATCGAATAGAAATTCGATCATTCGAATAAAACATTCGAATATATTCGTATTCGAAATTCGATATTCGGAGTTCTTCCATTTTCGAGTAATATACGAAACTCGAATAATTAAGAAAACGGGGTTTCGAATAAAATTCGAAACTCGAATAATCAAAAAACAGGGTTTCTAATAAAACTCGAAAACTCGAATAATCAAAAAACAGGGTTTCGAATAAAACTCGAAAACTCGAATAATCAAAAAACGAGGTTTCGAATATTATTCGAAAACTCGAGTAATCAAAAACGGGGTTTCGAATAGATTTTATTCGAATGTTTTGTTCGAATCTTTATTCGAATTCGTATTCGAATGTACTCCGTATTCAGATTATTCGACTTTGTTGCAGAGCCAACTGCTGAGTATCAAGCCCACTTCGTTCGCGTTTTTTTTTTCGCAAAACTCGGTAATGCATCTTTTGCAACCGTTATAATTCTTGAACTGTATGGAGAGTCGCATTCTTCCGACTGCTTGCGACAGTAAAAAATCATATTGGATTCTGAATGAAGTAATGTTTTGCGGTCCATCATATATTCCTACAGTACTTGAAAGAAGAGTATCCCAATCATGTAGAAAGTAGAGCAAGCCCTTTGCTTTTACATTATTGATGCTGATAAGAAATAAAGTTAATTCTGGTGTACATCAGTCTCTTTCAGACCATATGAAGAAGAATCTTTTGGGCACAGCATAAAAATTTATATCGACTGCTTTTTTAGATCGTCTAATAATGGGTAAAATATTTTTTGCTGAGGTATAGACTAGTTGCCGACCGACTTCATCGATTTTTGGAAAATCTTGAGCTACGAGGTTGGGAGTTGGTACAAGGGGGTAAGTGAGGGTGCTGATTAAGGATGAAAATTTACTTTATCGATTTTATCGATTTTTGGAAAATCTTGAGCTACGAGGTTGGGAGTTGGTACAAAGGGGTATGTGAGGGTGCTGATTGAAACCGAAATCTGTTTTATTGATTTCAGCAATTTTTGGAAAATTTTGAGCTAGGAGTTGGTATAGGGGATACTAGAGGGCTGATTATGATTGGATCGGCTTTACAGATATGTCGGCAAGTTTGAGATGTGATTGCTTTAGTTATTCGATAAATTATTCGAATATATATTCGGAATTCGACTTCCAATGTTCGAATATATTCGATATTTATTCATTCGATATTTTTGATTTTCCGAATTTATTTGAAATTCATTCATTCGATATTTTTGATTTTCCGAATTTATTCGAAATTCATTCAATCGATATTTTTGATTTTCCGAATTTATTCGATATTCGTTTATTCGAGATTTTTTGTTTTCGAATTTACGATATTCGTTTATTCAAAATTTTTCCTTTTCGAATTTATTCGATATTCATTCATTCGATGAAAAATTATCGAATTACCCAAGTATACCTCACACCAATCATATGACTTCACACAAGCTGCGTACAAGCTTGATCTCTTGCTTCTTCACAAAAAAATCGTTCGGGGCTAAAGTCAATTTCAGATGTTTTTTTTTGTTTTCTTTGTTATTATGACTCAAGTACTTTCATTGACTAGTCCATATATGGCACAGATAGATAGCACATGGCACGCCTTGTGCTATCTACCAAGCAAGTAGACGATTACTTTGCAGAGATAAAGTGACAAAAGCATTTATGGCATGGAAGGGGGAGGAGTTTTACAGATGAGGAATTCTACTTCTACGAACTGCATTTGTGGAAGGTGATGGTGAACAGGAATGTGTAAAACTAAAGGTGAATGTGTTAAATTAACGGTTGGACTTCTCTAATCAAAACATCATTAATGAAGCACTTATTCGGCTGATAATCCTTACATCTACTTTCCTCAATGATTGAGATAATCTTGACGTACTTTGCTTACTTCAAAAAACCAGACAATTTTCCTATGTGGATGCCGGCCAGCTTCCCGTAGGTACCTCCGCGACGCGCGCAGCGCATGCCTTTAGTGCGCTTCTCGTTCCAGCTCTACTGGATTTTTTGCTTTTCTCTCTCAAGTGGCTTTGTTCTATTCTGTAATTTCTCTATTTTAGATGTAAAGAACTCACGACGACTGCCGTTGATGAGTTTTTACGAGACTTGACAGTCTTGAGAGCTTTTAATCGAAACTCTCTTTTTTCTCGATAGTGAAGATCTGGATGTACTTATGGGGAGGCCTCTTCAGTGGCTGCTATTACAGATTAAGCCTGTATACCCGACTGATTTTTATTAAAAATGTTTCTAGGCCTATTTGATGCGGCGTTAGGGCTTTGCTTCTAACATTCTGCTCTCGATCTCGAACTTCCTAGTTTTTGTAGCCACAGAAGAAAAACGTTTTAAAAGTGTTCCTAGACTTTTTATGGTATCTCTATCATCCATCACTGGTAGTGTCATACTAGCATAAATGAGACTGACTAAAATCTGAGCGCTACAGGAAGTTATGAACGTTCCTTCAATGCTTTGGCTTTTCTCAGGTTTTTCGTATAGAACTTCCCACTTCTCATTTCACTCCTTTTTCAAGTAGAAATGCGCTTTCGTTTTCGTAAGTGAAATGAGAAGCGTCAAGTCGGGCCCGCGTTGCGTATGCGTCTCGGTGGTACCTATGAGAAGTTGGCCGGGGTCCATACTATAACAGAGCTCGGCCATTGTTAGGGAGGACAAAAACCACCTGTAGTAAGCGCTCAAAAAGACTTAATGGTTTTGATGCACAAACTGACGCATTTCCTCGAGTTCTATCTATGTTACAGATACATGGCTTTGCTAGGGCAATGGTTTAGATTGAGACTGCTAGGGCAAAGTTATAATTTGAAAAGTTCATTCGAATGGACACGAGTGAAAATATTCGATGGCAGTGCTCAAAAGGCTTGCATATAAGGTCGTTCCAAAAGTGATTTTGAGAGAAGTTATGGATGGACGATGTGATTTCGATGCTATTTTTTATCCTCTTTCTGGCGACTTTATCATGTTATGACCCAAAGTTGTCCAAAAAGGTGCTAGAATTTCAGCTGCCTACCTCTGTCGCACTTAAATTCAGCTAACTTTGTAAAATTTTTGTTTCAGACCTTCAACAGAGATTAAATAAGCCAAAGGTTGAGCAGAGCATTCGGTTATTGCAAGTCTACACGTGACTGCACTTTCACTTTGAAACCATATAAACGAAAAAAGCTCAGCAATATTGCACATAGGGTTCAACAATAATCAATCGTCAAACTTCTTGAAATAAAACGTTTGTTAAGGAATGGAACACTTACTACTCACTATGTTAGTATGTTAGTACTTTAAAATCATTTTGCAGACTTAGGGATAGGAAAAAGCCTAAATAAGCTTCTTATCGTATTGGATTCTCTCTAATAATTGCAGCTTCGATGCCTCCGAGGGCGTACAAAAAGTTTCAGAAGAACTGAGGAATGACCGTGGTAGAACCATATGCTGTAGATTGTTATTTAGAGAGCTTGTTGGCTAAATTACGATGGAAACGTAATAATTTGGGCAAGAAAAAAGCTGCAAAATGCCACCAAAATCTTTCAAGAATTTCTCTTCGGCGTAATGTGGCGCTTCCGTAAGGACTACTTTCGGAACCATTAATTTGCATGCCTTATCTAAACATAGTACGCAACCTTCCAAGCATTGCTTTCCCACTCACAGTGTACCAAGTAAATAGACGTTTTTTCTTCATTTCTGTAATTTCCATTCAGATCACCTATACATAATTCATCCAGTCCCTCAGCGGAAGATCGAAATATGCTATAGAATTTGAAATTGATTAAACTTGGGCAACTTGAAAACCAAAAATGAAGGAAATCTTAGCAAATATTCATGCACAAGCCATAACTAAGACAGAGGACAAGTGCAAGTGCACTTGGAGCAATACTCATACATTGTTTCCTTATTGCACATTTTTTCGGGTTTTCTTCTGTATGATTCTTGTTGAAAAAAAGTTTTTCTGTTTCGTTGTCATTTCAAGAAAAAATTAGACCCTCGCCTTGAAAGAGGCAAAAAAGTAAGGAGGAAGTGAGTAAGGAATAAAAACTGTTTCAAGGAGTTATATGAGTTGATTATGGTGATTTAACGGAAGAAATCCAGCAAAGCTCTTCTTCAATGCCTTCAATTTGCAAAACAACTCAATTCACCATGTTAGATTTGGAATCATGAACCAAAAAAAATCCTTTTTTTGGAACCGCAATACGAGCGATGAGGCTCATATGTCAATAAAATATCAGGTGAAACTTATATTTTCTGGAAGCATGATGGACAAACTATGAGCTACATAGTAAAGAAATCTGGATTATCCATAAAAGGCAATGTCAATAACGCCGTTGCCAGATAATTGCCGCTGCCAAAATGGATGCAATCTCATATGAGCCGTCACTCAACGTCAACAAATCTTATATAACTTGTTCATATTGACTTAAAAGCGTCAATAAAGAAATACCACACAATGCCATACAATAGACTTTTTGCGCATATACCTTCCTTTATTCCTTGAAAAAATTATGATAAGAAAGTTCATCAAATGACTCTTGAGGTTCTGATGTTGCAGCGGCTGCCGCAACTTGCTGCTCTTGTTCTGGCTCCAGTCCATCACCGGTAGAAGGTGACTGGGGCTGAAAAAAAATCTGAATAGCAAAAAAATATTGAGAAAAGCGAAAACAGAACCTCGAACTGAGCTATAGACTCCATCTTAGGAGCAATGATTGTATTGACACCGCAGTCCGATGGACAATATGATGACGGCATTCCTGGCTCTCCCGGTGGTCCAGGGCTGCCACGCTCTCCAAATGCTCCATACTTCAAGAAAGATTGCATTGAGTTTTCAAAACTCTAAGAAAATTTTTTTGAGTAACCCTATACCTTTCCGCTCTGTCCAACTCCTCCCCGAGGTCCTGGCGTTCCTGGCAACCCTCTAACATTCGACGGTCGTCCAGCAGTTCCGGGAGGTCCCTTTGCACCTTGAGAGCCGGGCAATCCTTGCGGACCCTTTACTCCCTCTCCGGCTATGGCATCATCACCAGGTGGACCACGGACGCCCCTGTTACCAGGAGACCCAGGGTAGCCTGTGTATCCAGGAGTACCTATGAGGCCTGCGAGACCGGGATTACCAGGATGACCTGAAAAATCAATTGGTTCAATGCGGCCCAGGACATTAAAGGCAGTTTTGAACCTGAGGATCCCTTGGTACCAGCTCTACCGGTCATTCCGCGCTCCCCTTGCGGTCCTCGCGGTCCCTGTGGCCCGGCAGGACATATGGAGCAGGGAAGGTCAGGCTGAACGAAAAAGAAAAATTGGAGGGGCTTTGGTAGCAGTGCTGAATTTTCTCTCAATTGCTATAGAAAATAACTTAAATAATGAATGGAAGAAAAAAATGATGCATTTTTAATAGAGCTCAAAGCAGATGTTGCGAATATATTGGGACACAAGCCGGTCAACAAATCTTTTTTCTTTTGGTCCCTAAAAAACCAAACTTCAACACTGATTTTAATTTCTCAATCATTTGAGTGAGGTTTCGTGCGCATCGGATGTATCGCAAATAGCTATGATATTCGTGTTTAGTCTGCTTGACCTTTTGATTTCCTTCCGAATCAAAATTTTTATAATGGAACCCAATATTTGTTATAGGCCATAAAAGAGAGTATTTATTGAGAGACCTGATAGACTTATTCCGAGATTGTTTTCATATTTGTGCATGACTTATAGACCAATCGCCCATGCATGCAAGAATAAGGTCGAATTATGGGAGCGATGAAGAATTTATTTCTTTACATCTAAAGTTTTGTTGAGAAATTAGACGCTAAGGCTAAGATTGTTTGACGAAGTTTTTTTACACTTCTTCTTCCCGTTATTATGTCTATTTGAAACATTTATTTCCTTGAATTAACAGACGCTTACCTGAGGATTCAGTTCAATGTCCTCTCCGTCCTTTCCAGGAGCGCCAGGTCTTCCAGGTGAGCCGGGCTCACCGTCAAGGCCCGGTGGACCTTCTTTACCAGCCTGTCCGCTTGGGCAGTGAAGACGTGTGCATTCTAAAAAAAACCAGCATAAAAGGGGAGCTCAAGGAGAACTCGATTACATGGTGAAAGATACTAGTGCTCTGCCAAAATTCTCATGAAAAAACTCACGGCTGCACTTGTGCAAAACTCCTTTCTTCAGTTCTTCCGCTGCTGCAGCGCTACCATAGTAATCTCTTGGAATTCGATGAGCACGATTCATTTCGCTCATCTCTGCCCAGATTACTTGCGATTTTTTCTGCAATTCGTTTGCGAGGTAGCTATCGAAGATCTCGAAAGCGTTCTCTTACCGCAAATGCTTGGCTACGGGCCATGGCATCAGAATGGATTGTGTTTGCACGCTCGTAAATTTTCATAACACTGACAAGGAGAGTTGTCATGGTCATTATGGAGATAACACAGACAATGACACCTGCTCGACGAATTGCATCTTCCGCGAGCATCTAGAAATCTGATTTTTAACGCTATTACGTACTAACGGTGAGCGACGAGTGTGTAATCTTATTGTTTTTCCTATATAAAGACCCCTTTAGGTCTGGACATGCCTTCCTTACATTTAAGGAATGAAAAATAGATCTTTTTAAGTAATTTCTCTCATTCACAGATCAGGTAGATATGGCATTTGATATACACATGTCACATAATCACGTTTTTTGAATTCTCAAAGAAATTTCAACTTTTCAATTTTTTAGCTTGCGTTCATTGAGAGCTCAATCTACCAAAGCGTCTTGGTATTAGCACTAACGACCTCGGAAATCTATACGAATTCTGAAAAGATGAAAAAAAAAGAATGAAATAGTTTACAAAAGTCAAAAGAATGTGGATTACAAACTGCCTTATGGAACTGACTCTATATTTATTACGATTCCATATTTATATTACTTACGTCCGTGAAGTCCGAAAATAATGATAATGGATAGCTCCTGTGCTTTCCTTATATTTGCCAAGAAGGTCTGCCAAAGTTAGAGCTTTTCAGAGGAAGAAGAAGAAAGTTGACGTACTTAGTTTACAAAGATTTTGAGCGAACTGTTCGCGCACGATTTTATGAGAAGGATCCAATTGGAATGAATGTATGAAAAATTCCAGGAAAAATGACGCCTATAACTGGATGAGGAGCAACTACGTCAAACCAAATATCACTACGGCACCTTTCCGGGAATACTGAGATGACCGAGATGATATAGTGGGATATATCTCTCCTCTTGTTGATCGCAGGCATCTTATTTCCAGTGCAAGGACACACATACATAGAATGGTAAGGGCGTTCGTTCATACTGATCCAGAAGTTTGGGAACATTTCCAGCACAGCGCTCACTTCGAGTTCTGTGCTGGAACTGTTCCCAAACTTTTGGATCAGTATGAACGCAGCTTAAAATGTTGGAATCAAAAATTTGGTACTTTTCCGTTATTCGGACCCATTTTTCAAAGAAGAGAATTTCCTTCTTTTTTTTGAGCCATATTGGTTTCAACTTCACAGCAAGGAGTGTCAACCTTCTGCCACGTGTTAAAAAAATTTGACGTTTATCTACTGTTCAGCAGTTATACCAAGAGTTCGTATTGCCTCACCGAGTGACATAAGTTCAATCTGTTTTTTGATTGAAAATGGACCCATTATCGATTAAACAACTCCAAATGAACATTGTTATAACAATAGCGTTAATCTGTCATCAATGGTTAAATTAGACTTGTCCAGAGTAGAGAATTGCGCTATATTTCCATAAGCGGCGAAACAAGCAGTGGCGAGGTACTACTCGGCTTGGCTGTACAATCGGCTGTACCGGCAATCAATTGTACATGGCTTGTACAATCGGTGCCTAGCTCCGGAGGACAGTCGAAGTCTGGCAGAGCTGCGGAGGACCCAATTGACCATTGAGAGAGGGGCGAGAGGGCGGTCCCTTTCTGTGACGTCACGGTGACGTCACAAGAAGGCAGATGGGACTCCTCCGGCGGGCTTGCAAATCTCTGCTCCGGAGGTACGCCAGATTTGTGAGAGCCTCGGAGCACAGATTTGCGCTCCGGAGTACGTCAGATTTGGGACACCTTCGCAGAAATGGGAGGTCACCGGAGCAAAAAATGGAGGTCTCCGGAGCACAAAATGGGAGGGTTCCGGAGCACAAAATGGGAAGGCTCCGGAGCACGAGTGGCATACCCCGCTGGACAGACCCCGCGGCCCTGCCATTTCTGCTCCGGAGGTATCCCTTCGACTGTCTAAGTACAAGCCATTGTGTATAGTTCTTCCTGGCTACTACGGATGGTAAGAGCTCCATCTTTGGCAAACTTTCGCTTATGCGTGTAATGTCTACGTGTAATAATGTGTAATGTTTACGAGATATTTATATAATGTTTATGATATTAATCTTATATATAAAGCTGAATGTCTGTTTGTATGTCTGTATGTATGTCTGTCTGTCTGTACGTATGTTCCGAATAGAAAATTCCATTTCTGAACCGATCGGGACCAAACTTAGCACACATACACTTCGGGCCCCGGCGGGTGTCATAGGCTACTTTTCGTCATCGATCGATATCGATTTTATCGATTTTTTGCAGAGTTCACCTACGGGGCTGAGAGTTGGCACAGGGGGGTAAGTGAGCATGGGGATTCCGAATACAATATTAGTTTTCAGGATTATCGATTACTTTTAGTGATTTTATCGATTTCTTTGTAAATTTTGACATGCGGGGCTGGGAGTTTGCACGGGGGGGGGGGTAACGAGCATGCCGATTACGAATACGATATTAGTTTTTGGAATTATCCGCTACTTCTATCGATTTTATCGATTTTTTGCAAAGTTTGAGCTGCGGGGCTGGGAGTTGGCACAGGGGGGTAATCGAGCATGCTGATTACAAATACGATATTAGTTTTCAGGATTATCAATGACTTTTATCGATTTTATCGATTTTTTTGTAAAGTTTGAGCTACGGGGGAGTTTGCATAGGGGGGTAATCGAGCATGGGAATTCCGAATACAATATTAGTTTTTGAGATCGTCCACTACTTTTATCGATTTTATCGATTTTTTGCAAAGTTTGAGCTACGGGGCTGGGAGTTGGCACAGGGGAGTAATCGAGCATGCTGATTACTAAAACAGCGGGGATATTGATTTGGCATGTAGGCGTGGGCACAGGGGAAGTTTCTTACAGAAATAGGGATAGTGTTCTTTGACATAGTGTTTTGACAGGGCCGGGCGGAGCCGGGTAAGCCAGCTAGTATATTATATATCAGACATTTATATAATCTTTATGATACCAGTGCGAGCCTCTGCGAAGCAGAGGTGACGCACTGGTATCATCTTGTCTTACTATAATAACGCGCTAAGGGTGTTTACGTTTTTTTGTGTGTCTGTCTGTGTGAATGTCTGTCTGTCACGAAATTCGTAGAACGTGTTCCAGCAAATGTCCTGAGCTGAAATTTGGGTCATAGCACCCATCAGCGTGTAGGTAAAGTGTGCAAAAGCAAGAGCCGATCCAGTAAGTGAGACCATCGAAAACTGCGCGTCAAACGGATCCACGCAACTTTTGGCCCGCCAAAACGGATCGCTAATTGGACTTCTTGCAGAGTCGTGGATTTGTTCAACAAGCAAATCTGAAAAACATTGACTTCAGCCCAAAAGTAAGCAAAAAATTTATTCTTACACGAAATTGGCGCCAGAATGGTGTAACTGGGCAAATTGTCCACTCGTCAAGCTTTTGTTTCAAAAATTGTAAGGATTTTTGAATAGAGATGTAGCCCAAAGTGATTGTTCTCCTTATGGCGACTTTGAAACCAAAATAATTTCAATAACCCATTTAAAATCGCATTTGTTCTTCTGCGGAAAAATTTTTTCTCCAATTATTATCGATCTCACATGAAAAAGCTCCAAAAATGAACGGTTATTCACAATTCATTCGTCATGGTATCGGCATCGTGCAGTGAGTTTCAAAGTCATTACTATGCGATCACGATGAAGGCATACGGATAGCAGAGCCAGTGCGAATCTCTGCGAACGGGACGCACGGTACTATAATAACTAAGGCCGTCTGTTTTTTTTTGTGTGTGTGTCTGTGTGTCTGTGTGAAAATCTGTCTGTCACGAAATTCATAGAGGAAGCTGCAACCAAGCTATCGGGCTGCAATTTTACAAAACATACCGTGCCAGCGTGTAGGCCCACCATGCACAAGAACGAGCGGTTTGATAAGCGGGTCCCTCAAAATTTGCGCGTCAAACGGGTCCACGCGATTTTCACGCAAAACTGAGTCGCTAGTTCGACTTTTTGCAAAGTTATGATTTGCCTGACAAGTAATTCTGCGCGCCATGAGCTTTAGCCCAAAAAGTGCTCAAAAAGTTTGCTTTTTTGCGAAAACAGCGCCAAAAAGTGATGAGCGCGTAGATAGTCGATTTGACAAGGTTTAATTGATAAAACTGAGAAGATTTTTGCACTGAAATGTAGCCCAAGGTGACTATTATCCTTACGATAATTATCAAACCAAAATAAATTCAGTTATCCGTTCAAATTCGCATTTGTTTCCTTGCAACAAAGTTTTTTTTCAAAATTACCGATCTTACATGGAGATGCTTCATGAATGAACGGTTGTTTACGATATATTTGTGATGCTCAGCATCGCGTGGTGAGTTTCAAAGCCATTCTCATGCGAACATGAGAAAGGCATACGGATAGGGCGCCAGTGCGAACCTCTGCGAAGCGGAGGTGACGCACTGGTAACTTATAATAACGGGCTAAGGGTTGTTTACGTTTGTCTATGTGTGTATTGTGTGTGTGCGTGAATCTCTGTCTGTCAAGAAATTCGTAGAGTGTGTTCCAGCCAACGTCCTGAGCCCAAATTTTGCACGGCGCATGCTAGCAGCATGAAAGTCCGCTATGCAGAATCACAAGCGCATCCGTTGAGTGGATCCCTCAAAAATTGCGCTCCAAACGGTCCACTTGGCTTCTGGCCGCAAAATTGGGTCTGTACCACCACTTTTACGAGTTATGGATATGAATGACGAGCTGATGTGTAAGCCATGGACTTTAGCCCAAAAAATTGGACTAGTTGCTTACATTAGGAAAGTGGCGCCAAAAAGAATTAGTTGCATAAATGTTCAATTTGCCAAGATTTTACCTGATCATTTGAAAAGATTTTTGCACTGAGATGTAGCCCACGGTGACTATCGTCGTTATGGCGACTACCAGACCATAAAAAGTCCAAAAACCAATTCAAGTTTGCATTTATTTTTCTCGGTGAAGTTCCATCCACGCGAATATACCGATCTCAAACAAAAATGCTCTCGGAATGAGTAGTTGTCTACATACTCGTCATAGCCTGCACAGCGCGGTGAGTTTCAATGTCACTATTATGAGGAATGAGTAAGGCATACAGAAAGTAGGGCCAGTGCGAGCCTCTGACGCAGAAGCTCGCAGTAGTCAATATAAATCATTTATACGAAATTAACTCACCATGCTCATAACGCTCTTTCAAACCACCGCAGAGCTGACAGCGGATGCGTGTGCATCTCCTTTCATGGGAGATTACCCACATTAAAAGCCGATCAATTCCCAGCCAACGGATTTGGATGATTCAGGCTATTGGCAATCACATGATCAGTGCCAATCGGCGATTTTGCTGAACAAATGAAAAATAGTTTCAATAACAGAGATCTAAGGTGCAAAAAAGATCCCTGTGTTCTAAAGAGTTTTTACCGGCTGTAAGTGGATTTGGCACACTAGCACCTTCAGCGTTTTCGTCAACATCTGAGGCAGCCTCCTCATTGATTGAAGCGATGACATGAAACATTCAAAAATGCAATACACATTAGGTGTAATGTGTAAAAAAAACCATTGAAACTTCAGAAATGGAACTTAAAACAGGTAACCTCAACCTGTCGACTAACATAGCAAATATAAATCATTTGTACGAATTCAACTAGTCGTGTTCATGCTGCTAACATGCATTTCACTGCCGACAGCGAATGTCTGCTCATTTTGAAGATGTAATCGCAATAACGTTTTGTCGTGTAAGCACCAACTTAATGCAAAAAACTTAGTCTAAAACAGCGACTATGACCAGTTAGATGCCGACATATCTATGCCTAAGCCTAAGCCAGGTCATTAACTATCTAGTGACAAAGGTACTAGCCGGTTGCACCTACGTTCACGCTCCTTCCCATAACTCGTTTTTTGATTGCTTCTCGATTTAGATTAATCTACCACTGTAACTAGCCTTACAATGAATCTCACTCCTGGCAGTTATTACATAGGGAGCGGTAGTAATCTACCCCACCTGATGGCACCATAGATGCCAAGAATTTGGCACACATCGCGGAAAGTTGCCAATTCCGGCGGCAGCTCGCGGATTGATCATAGGTTCTGACAATGCAGTCATGTACACATGAAATTTCAATGACGCTGATAGTCGCAAAACAGTGGCAACGCGCGCGTTCGAACTTGCATGCGTCAATCTGAAGCGCCGCCGCTACCCATTCGACCACTCGTTCAATCACTGTAACGGCAATGATATAAACGCTGCCTAAGTGGAGCCTGTATGGGGGCATGATCAATATATCGCGTGATAGACGCTGACCTGAAAAAACAGCTGATGATAAGAGCGAGGGAGAGACGAGATCCTTGCAAATGAGATAAAGCAATTGGAAAATAAAAATGTTCTTCATGGTTTCATAATATCACTAGTAGTTTCTTGTGCATGCATGTCATCAATTTGGAGGAGAAAAACCCATAGTGACAAAAATGATAGTTTTCCAATGAAAAGTAAATTTTTTAAATCTTTTGCTAAACGTAAGTTGTGTGATATTGCCGCGCGCGCAATTTCACAGACGCCGTCGGCAGAGGTGCCAGCACCTCGACGTGGTAGGGGCACGTCGAGATGCCGGCAGCTTCCTTTCTCAAAAGAGCGTGCTATTTCTCTTGCTCTTTGACCTGCCGGCAGTTGCCACCTCGCTGATTTCGACGAACAATTTTTGGAAAAGGTCTGGGACAGCCTAAATTTGGGGTTTTCAGCGACCTGCCGACGAGACGTGCCGCCAGGTCGGCGGGAATGCTACCGGGTGCTTTCTACAAAACTGGTGAAAATATCCCTGTCACCAAGTGTCAGTTTATCGTTTCACAAAGGCACATTAATTGTAACTAGAACAGTGATTCCTTCTAGCGAAGAAGCTATTGAGGACACGCTACCTAACGGTGATTATATCATTACTGTTTTGATCATCGCTATTTTCATAGTTTGAAAGTTTCAGTTTTGGACGACGTCCCGGTACTGGAGTAGTGGCAGTGTCAGAAAGCGTCGAATTTGAGTTATTAGGCATTGATGTAGATTTAATACAACGAACTGATGATTCTTTGCTATTTCTCGTTCACTTTTAAGATCATTGTAAATCATTGTTAAAATAGCGTTTACTCGCTTATTCATAGTACTGGAAGTTGACTCGGAGGGCCTTTGACCATGTCCGAGATGAGGTCTGAGCTATGCCAACTGGAGAATATTGCTCATCATTTCCGCCCGAGAAAATATTTTGCAAGGTGAAGATGAGCTGGATATAAAGGATACAGTACATTATATTTTCCAGGACCGCAAACGAGTTCCTCGGTCCATATAATATGCAGCCGACACGGGAAACACTACCTGCCGGTGCCACCTACTTCGTTATTCAGGTCAAATATATGCAACTCCATATGAGCTGCTCGGTATAATATGCAGTACTTGTTCAGTAAGTGTTTCGCATCCGTGCAAGATGACCGTTTCTAGATGTGTGCAAGAAGTCACTGTATGACAACTACCGTAATTTTTATATCATGGAGATGCGACTCAAGTTCTATTATGTGTTTAAGGCCGGAAAAAGAACGGCCGCGGTCAAGACTTCAACCTTATGACCTAGAAATGGTTGTCCTAATCAGCGACGAACTTAATGCGTGGAGCAACATTCTTTCTGAGACCGTTCTATGCTGTACAGTTGCCAAACTTTCAATGAACTGCTGGCACTTTGTTTTAAACAGCTTTTTCAGAGGTGTAACGACATCTTACGGACCGTTTCATGATATACCGGCAGCCAGCGAGTTTCCTCCTGGTATGTTCTATCTAATAGCACAGGTAGGTATGCGCATACTCAAATAAATGTTAGACGCCGCTCTTTTTTCCAGAAAATAGCAGTTCTACCGAGCGGCAGAGTTGTATTCCGCGGTGACACAGCTGGATTGCTGATGGGTCATCTCTCCTGCCCACTCAATACTGCTTCATTGGAAACACGATGGGTAGTTGTATGGTCGGACTCACATTCATGAAAGCGATACATGGGAAGTGCGTTTGGAGAAAGGCCGAAAAATGAAAATCTGGAACTGTACCAAATTCGCTCAAAGGAGTCATTCAGCATGTGATCACAAATGATACTCAACTTGCATAACAAAACGTGGAGTAGAGATGTAGAGTAGGGGGTGAAAAACACGGATTTGCCTTCAATTCGGTCGAAGGGGTTATGGGACACGCTGTTTCCAGATATTGAACTTTTTCCGCACAAAGCCTATTCGTATGGTCACGGTATACGGTTGGGGGGGGGGGGGGGGGAGGGGCGCGGGGTTAAATTACAGATTTTTCTGGAGCTTCGCCTTGGGTTATTTTCCGCGTTGAACATTTTTTCGTACATAAGAAGGATATCAGCACGGTTGTGCCATGTTTTCCTGCTAAGGTGGGCATACACAGAGGTGCCAAAATTTCCTCTGCTATTTCTCCTGTTCTTTGTTTTTTTTCGATAGCGGTCAAAGCTCTTGTTTTGTATGATCATAGTTTCATCGATCACTGCGACTTTCTACGCGAAGATCACGTCGTCGATGTGTGTGACTGATTAATATTAGAGCAATGAGAGTAAAAATCTTGACATTTTTCACATCACTATTGTGTATTATTCCATACATTCCGATTCCAATCTTGCTTTCTGATAGCTTGCCTGCCAAAATGCTGTAATGAGCAGTTTTATCCACTGCAGTTCTTTCTCGCTTAGATAGTACTTAGAATTACCATCTTTTTTAGCATAATCCAGGATATCTATAGTGAAATCTTCTGGGTTATGCCTAGCATCACTGAAATGCTTGACCATGAAAGTATTGAGGGCCTTATTTTGAAAACTCCTTTTTCGTTGCTTCATTGTTATTCTTGGTTTTCATCTAGTTTCCCTTACATACTATAAAGTACATGTTCCACATTTAATAAGGTAAACCACATTTTTAGTGTCACATTTGGAGTGACTGGGTTTTTTCGTTCTGAATGAATGTTGTAGCTGAGCTTCTGACATGATTGTTGAATCTGATTTGCTGTCACAAATTTCACATGTATTTCTATTACATCTGTTTCCACAGTGCTCACTGATCATACCGGTATCTACCATTCTAATTTGACGGCGACCTTCTGCACTATCAAGATATGCGCCTTGTCATGCAGCAGCCCGTAGGTGCGATAGGGAAGCAGGGTCCCCTCCAGGTGAAGTGTGTTTTGTCTATTTCTAACCTATAAGCTCCTGCAAGACGAAGGCGGTTGGTCGAGGTGCGACGTGGCTGTGACGCGGCTGTGACGCTGCTGTGACGCAGCCATGTCGCAGCCGCGTTGCACATCGAACCGACCGCCTTCGTCTTGCAGGAGCTTATAGAAAAGTGAAGGGGTAACTGGGCCTGAGATGAATGCTGACGCGAGCTTACATGTCTAATGGGAGCGGGAGTGAAAGTAAGACAAGTGTTACAGAGGTGTAATATAAAGATTTCCTCAGTGCTTAGGCTTTTCAAGATCGTCCAACAGAGACTTTTTTGACTCAGGAAAGCTTTATGTTTCATCAGTCGACATATCATTTGAACGCTTGGAACATATAGAATCGATTAGACCTTTCCTTTTTTCAGCTCTCCTGTGAATTCAGGTATAAAAAATCATATCTAGCTCCAGCATCAGGTGATTTTTTGCAATCACTTTGAGCTCCATTTCTGAAAGAAGGGGAAGGCTAGAAAAAAAGGCGGTCTACGTTTACTGGCGAAGTCTTGCTCTGTAATAGGGTTAGACAACTGGACACATTCAATTACTTTTTGCATGAAAATTTCTTCACAAAAACACACACGTTTTTAGCTAAAATGCCATGTATATCTGAGGAGAAGAGAGCTAGATAAAAAGAGGCGGTTCGTCGAATCCCTGTTTCTTTAGCTTTCTGAAGGTGTTTGAGCTGTTGAGTGAAAAACTTTTGGCTTTTCGAAAATGAGGTGGAGGTATTTAGTGTTAACTTGCTCCATCCCGTTCTTGCTTTCTATGGGCCGCCAGAGCAAGATTTTCGGACTGGGAAAGCTTTGTGCACCAACACTTTGAAAACCATTCGATAGTAAGAACACGAGAAACCGATGAAGATCGTCTCTTTTTCCTAGCTTTTCTGTCAAGCGAGATACAGCAATTTCATCCAGCTACAATATCAACCAATTCTGGGTAATTATCTTTTCAAACCAAGAAGATTTTGCTTGAGAAACAAGCAATCTAACTGCTCTTTTATTTGTTATTATTCCCTCTAGTGAAAGGAGACATGCTACGGTTTTTGTCAGTAAACATGCATCATTAGCTAGTCCAGATTTTCGATTCTTATTTAACTCTTTCTTGCGCATTGTGTATTCATTGATACAATGTTAATTATTCAAAGAATCGAACATACTTTTAATTTTTGATTATGTTTCTTTATCAACGCCACTTTGAGTGCGCAGGAGGTCTCGAGCATATGTTTTTTTTTCCAACAAAACGCTGTTGCTTCGATGATCTCTTGCAGACTTGATGTCTAAGGAGAAGAAGCTGGCGTTTCCTTCCAAACAAAAAGTGCCGTTGTAACAGCTGTTTGATTCTGCTGTTATGCCTTGATTATTGCTTGATTTGTCTCAACCTCAGATGAAAGGGGACAGCCAGATGCCGGCCCTAAAATGAAAGGGGTCAGAGAAATACAGTGCTGGCCAAAATTATAGGTCCACTCTAAAAAATGCCATAACTCACTCTGTTGTGAATGAAATTTTCCAAAATTTGGTAGAGACGTGTGTTTACCAGCCTACTATCAGCCTTCAAAACGGTTCTCGTTTTCGTTTGATTATTCAAGAAAAAATTAGAAATTTTGAAAAAAGCAGGCTTGAAGGCTGGCCAAAATTATAGGTCCACCTGGAGTTTCTACTGATTAAAGCACTTCTTAGCTCCCGAATTTTTTAGGTAGGCACACATCCAAAAACGTTAAACAGCTGCATTTTTCAAGCTGTGTCATACCTCCAAAAAGAACTAATTATCTGCTTTTTTGCCTTGAAGATGCACTCACATGTATTTCGCTCCACAAACCTGCGTTGAGTAAGAAATTCTGCGTTTCTCAGGTGGATCGGAAGGGAAGGGGTTTCATCTATCTTCTGGATGCTTTTTGACGTGAGCATTGAGGAAAAAATCCGACTTTTTGCTGCTGAAGCAAATCTGACATCGACTCAATCGGGAGAGTAAGCCTCAGTTTCTGCCCTAAAACCCTTTATGCATTGTCATTATAACCTCAAGATATTGTAGAAGCATTTTTTACACAAGAATAAAGCTGTTCGCCATACTCGCAAGTGTCCACAAAGCTGCCTTGCTTCTTTTTCGAAACATGAGTTGTGTGTGCAACGTAATAATGGTGTTACGCGATCCAAAATAGCTTTCCAAGTGCTACCTCACTTAGATTTTTGACAGTAATTATTTACTAGATAGTGGATACAGCTTGTAGTGTACGTTAGCACATAATTCTTCTGAAAATTTTGGTCGGAGCCACACGTAGCTTTGGCGCTTGTCGTAATCAGTTTCTGCAGAGTGATTTCAGTAATTATACTCGAAGCTAGGATCTCTAGAAAGTTGTGACTATGGTATACGGACTTTCCTTCATAGAAATAATGCCTTTACTTTACTCAATGCTTCTGAGAACATTGTAAAAGAAGTTTGAAGGCAGAAATTTGAGCTCAGGACTGCAGTACTGTCAATGTCAGATTTGCTTCAGCAGCAAAAACTCGGATTTTTTCCTCAACGCTCACGTCAAAAAGCATCCAGAAGATAGATGAAACCCCGTCCCTTCCGATCCAGCTGAGAAACTGCAGAATTTCTTACTCAACGCAGGTTTGTGGAGCGAAATACATGTGAGTACATCTTCAAGGCAAAAAAGCAGATAATCAGTTCTTTTTGGAGGTATGACACAGCTTGAAAAATGCAGCTGTTTAACGTTTTTGGATGTGTGCCTACCTAAAAAAATTCGGGAGCTAAGAAGTGCTTTAATCAGTAAAAACTCCAGGTGGACCTATAATTTTGGCCAGCCTTCAAGCCTGCTTTTTTCAAAATTTCTAATTTTTTCTTGAATAATCAAACGAAAACGAGAACCGTTTTGAAGGCTGATAGTAGGCTGGTAAACACACGTCTCTACCAAATTTTGGAAAATTTCATTCACAACAGAGTGAGTTATGGCATTTTATAGAGTGGACCTATAATTTTGGCCAGCACTGTATCTAGAGCTATCGCATCTATGCAGCAGCCTATAGCTATTTAATGGGTTGTAGCACAGCGAATATTGATTATTTAATTATTGGTGAATTATGTACATAATATCTAGAGAAGTAGTATCCTAGAATGTCATAGATAATTATCATTGTGGCAAGTTATGCTATCCTACTAGGAACATATGTCTTATCCGAACCCTTTTGGACAAAGTCTAAGACCCATCGTCTGCACCCATATGCATTTATCATGTATCATATTATAACATAAAATTCAATGATAAATAAATTTTTGGAATGTTTTGATCGGGTTTTTTGCTATATACAAAAAAATTATATACAAAAGCTTGGAACGCAAAACCAAGCATACATTACATCTTGAAACACCATATCAAATCTTAAGAGTCAAACAAACATCCGCCTATTAGACCTTATGTTTCCCTGACTCTTAAGGTCAGTGGGGTAGAAGGAAATACGTGTATATTAAGGTTCTAATGTAAGAATATCAACTTAATTCTGTTTCCATGTAATATTCGACAATGTAGATCATCAGAAAATAAAGGTGTAATAGATATTATTACTAAGTTATATCCCAGCTTAACTGAACATGGACTACGTATGATGTAGTGATTGCACATTGCCGTATTTACTACATAATGAATAAATAATGTTAAGAATTAAAGGTCAAGTAGTGCTTATCACCTACTAGACCTCATGTCTCCCTTAAATGATAGGGGGGGGGGGTGGACACGACAAAATAGTACGTAGATAGTGAAAACGAATAGCTAGTC